ACTGATAAATAATAGCAAAGCACGAGTCCAGCTTTGTGTGATTCACAGTGGTGTGAGCCTGGTCACTTTGGAGTTCAGTGGAGTCTTTCCCCTGAGCCATTCGTGTGTGCCTGCACAGGCTCCTGAGTCACTCAGCTGCCAGTCCCTTGCCATCTTGCTCTTTGCAGTGTGATACAAAGTACTGGTGACAGCTTGGATCTTCATCCATCAATCGGAGATCTCAGGGGGAGCTTTAAAACACTTGCTAACAAACTTTGGCAAAGCATCTGCGGGATGGAGCCTGCCATCAATAAGGCAAATGGCAAATAAATACACTGGTGGCGTGTATTCAGCCTGAGGGCTGCCAGAGGTGTCCAGAGGAGCACTGCTTTCTGCTTCTGAAGCAACCTCTTGTCTTGGTTTCATTTGTAAAATGAGATGAGTGGGATCTACCCTCTCATCCCATTCACTTCTGAGGGGCTGAATAGAGTAGAGGATTCTAATAGCGCCGCCCATAGGGAGCAATGGGACAGTAAACAGGCACAAAGCAACCTCAGCCTTTCAGTCGTCAAACGAAGGCCTTTTGGAAGTTGAGGTTTAAGGATCTTTGCAAACACTGGCTCCTGCAGCAAATGGAAGCCCAGAGCACGAAACCCCATCCTCCGCAGGGAGCTTGATCAGCAGGGGCAGTACATCCTTGCTGTAGGACTGCCTGACTTTCCAAGGCTGTTGAGGAAGGAGACCTTGTAACGCTGAACATTTGCCACTTCTCTCTTTTTCCTACCAGAAGAGTCCATTCTCCTCTTCCAGCTGTGCATGGGGGGCAGCTGGTACCCAGGCTGGGTTGCCATTGCCTTACAGGTATCTCTCTTCCCTATCCATATGCCATATATGAAGCCTGGTGGGAGAATGCGAGATGCTGCAGTGAACCTTTGTGCTGAACTGGAGGTAGAGAGGCTGTGCCAGTGGGAGCCAGAGAGCAGGCAAATAAAGAGGGAAAATGGAAGTAACTGGCAGAGTTGCAGAGATAAAAGCTTAAATATCAACGTAATTGTCCTGTGCTATTCTCCTTGGGGTGTTCGACAGTGCACTGTAGAATGAAGTCAAACAGGCAGTGCGCTAACCATCATTCTGTCATCATCTGGAGAAGAGAGGCTTGAATTGCTTTGCCCTAAAGGGGCTTTTTTTCTTGTCTAAATCCTATAAAGAGGGCCAGGAGAGTCACTTTCTATGAGGCTTCTTGATTAGTGTTATGTAAGAAACAGAGTTTATGCTCCTTGAGGTTGGGTTTTGCAGGCAGTGCTGGCTGGAACAGGCATTTTTGTGCAAGAGCTGAGTGCCTATGTGCCAAATTGGCTGCTTGTGCTCACAGGCACAGCAGCTAGGAGAGTACCAGGCACTTCTGCAGGCTTTCTGTACAAATGGGGGCTCTGGTATGTGTGCAGGGGGGCAAATGAACAATAGTACTTTTAGACTTCTGGGCTGGTCAGGCATGTGGAGCTGGAAATGGAGGCAGGTAACAGTCTTTTGTGTTTAAAGGTCTTTCTGTAATTAACTTAGTGTCAACTTGATCGTTGGCCATGCAGAGGCTTTTTGACAGGTTAATATAGAACAGGAGCTGATTTCCATCTTTATAGCTCTAGGTTGTTCTCCCTGTTGAATTCTTACTATTAAACATATCCATTCCACGCTAGCTGGAATACCTGGAAGGAGGATGCTGAGGGCAACTACCTTAGAAGAATTCCCAGGTAGCCAATCTGAGTGGTAGATGAGATACTCACGTCACTGTTCTGCAAACAGATGTGGACCTCAGAATCAATAGAGCATCTCCCTGGCAAAGCCATTTAGATTATGTTCCCATTATCTCTGTGCAGGAGTAGTGGGACATTGACTGAAATTTGCAAAACCAAAGACATGATTCGGGAAAATCTATTGCGTTTTAAATCAACAATTTGGAGAATCTCAGCCTAAATCTGTATCCTGGCTGCTCATGGTCACAGCGAAGAGACAGTGGCAAAGCAGAGACGATGTAAGCTCTTGGCTTATGGGGGTATTAAAAACCAGATTGAAATCTCCCTGGCTGACACCCAGTGTGCAGGGATGCCAGATTAAGTTCCTCATAAATGATCTTTCCAGCTTGACACTCAGAATGCAGCATGGACATCTGGATAGCATAAAACCAAACTTCAAGTAAAACAAAAAAGCCCTGTGTCCCCACTGATTCCAAGAGAATGCTTGTGCAGGCATAAAAGCATCCCCTGGAAAAACACTGCAGCGTAGAAGTAGTAGAAGAATCCACATCTCTCATCCCAAAATGCTGCATGGGGCAGATAACCCCTGTGGCACAAAGCATTTGGAGTTGGAATTGAAGAGAGCTGCCACCTATGGTCAGTTTGTTCAGCTCAGGGCACTTCCCTGTATCCTCCTTAAGATACTTGTGCCTAGGGGTTATGGACCTTTAGAGATGTGGGATGTGATTTGCTCAAGGAAGTACCCTCTGAGCTGGCTGATGTGACAACCCCTTCCCAGAAAGAATGCGTGGTTAAAGGAGAAACTTGCACAAGTGAATAGCAGGGAAATACCCAAACCAGGCCTTGCCAAATCAGCAGGATGCCCCCTTTTCTTCTGGGGCATAGAAATCCTTGGCAAAGAGAACTTCTGACCTGTCCCAGGCAGATATAGCTTAAAGACATGGTCATGAAGTATTGATACTGAAGTATTGAATACAAATTAGGCACAATAAAAATGAACTCTCTGAAGATGGGGTTTGTGCCACAGGTCTCAGAACAGACTTTAGTGGTGGGCCCCTTATATTGTTTTGATGTGGAAGGCCAGGACCAAAGTGGAGGGGTTTATCCCTGACTGCAGGGGAAGTGGGATCAGCTCTGTTTCCTGGGATCTCACTAGCAGGCCACATAACAGAAATCCTGGCAAAGCATGAGAAAGAAGCAAACCCTTTGGCTCTTTGCTGGGGCTGTGCTGTTCATCTGGCCCTAGATCTGGTGCAGAAGTATGGAGCTAAAGCTATAACTGAGTTTATTACAGCATAGAAAAGTGCTAGATTGCAGAATCTTTGTCAATCAAATCTCTCTCAGATAGATAGGCATTCCCTAATGCAGGATTTTAACCTTTTCCAGAGTCAAAACCACAGAAATTCCCAGTATTTCTCAGGCAGGAACCAGCACATGAGGAAGTAATTAATGAGAGCAGGAGGGGAAAAAAGAATGTCCTGAATAGAGGCAAAACAGACTCAGAGTCCTCATCCCACAGGCTGCCTCCTCAGTCCTCGAGATGCAGACAAAAGACATTCCAGCTCCTGACAAACAGCTTGGAAAGATGCTGAAGCATCCAGCAATCCCCCAGGACATTTAGGTAAAGAAACAGTCGGTCAGTGAGGCCGATGCAGTGTTTGTGTCTGTAGGTGGAGTGTCTCTTAAACTGAGGATATGGGAATCAGCAACAAGATTATCCCTGTCTTACATGCAGTGGATCCACGGCAGACACAGGCTGCATGCAGCATCCCTTTAGTGTTATTCTGGCTTTCAGAAAGAGCAAAGCAGGGAGTCTGGAATAATCAGTTAATTCATTAAGGAAAATCTATAATGATTTCTGGAAGCTGTACTCGGAGCCAGGACCGGTGGCCAAATCACCCGGTTTCCAGTAGGCTGAGTCCCCCCCTTGTTCTGGCAGACATCTCAAACAACATACCCAATCCACTTAAAAGGCTTGGGTTAAAACCCCCACCATAAAAACCTGAGTTACTTTGGATCCTTACAGGAATGCTGTGCCTCAGTTTTCCCATCAGAAAACGAGGGGGACAGGAACGCCATTCAGCTGTTTCCCAGCAGTACTGTGCAGCTGATTGGATTAACATTTATAAAGCCATGCATGATTCTTGGAGGGGAATTGCTGCTGAAGAATTAATTGTTATGATTTTTGCTTGCTCCCCAGATGCTTGAAATACAGAACTTGGCAGAATTCCGGAGGAAGTATCTCTGTGAGCACAGATAAGAGATGAGCCAACCTGACAGCCAGGCTGCTGGTGCAGGCAAGATTCATTACAGATCTGGGATTCTTCCGTAGTAGATCTGAGCTCAGAGCATGAGCAGGGCTCCGGAAAGCTTTGTCTGTCCCATGAAGTATAAAATGATAGAATGGTTTGGGTGGGAAGGGACCTGTAAAGCTCATCCAGCTCCAAGCCCCTGCAATGAGCAGGGACATCTTCCACTAGACCAGGTTGCTGAGAGCCTTGCTCAACCTGGCCTTGAACACTGCCAGGGATGGGAAAGTAGAACGAAGAGCTTTAAACTGGCTTAGATTAGATTTTAGGAAGAAATACTTTACTATGAGGGTGCTGAGGAGCTGGCACAGGGTGCCCAGAGGAGCTGTGGCTGCCCCATCCCTGGCAGTGTTCAAGGCCAGGTTGGACACCGGGGCTTGGAGCAAGCTGCTCTAGTGGAAGGGATCCCTGCCCGTGGCAGGGGTTGGAGCTGGATGAACCTGAAGGTCCCTTGAAGACGTCCTTGTTAATGTCCCCATTTGTTACCGCAGGTGTCCCCAGCAGCAGCAGGTGCCAGCAGCGGGTTTGTCCGCTGCTCTGGAGAAGGGAGGGGAAAACAAACACGTGGGAGAGCCTGGGGGGGGGGGGGGGGGGCTCCGCTCTACCGGCGGGGACACGGGCCGGTGCGGCGGGGGCAGCGCAGGGCGGTGGGTCCGGCATCCCCGTCCGCTTCCCGGGGCGCTGCGGGTTGGGTACCCCGGGCACTGCTCCCCATCCGCCGGTAGCGGGTCCCCTCGGGGGCTCCCCCTCGGTCCCGCCGGATGCCGCCGCCGCCGCCGGTTTCCTGGCCCGTCTCTGGGCCCCGGTGCCGCCGCTTCCTCCCGGAGCTGCCGGCGGGGGGAGGCCGCGGGGAGGGGGCCGAAGCGCTCCTTATCCCGATGGGTTATTTTTTCCGGTCGGTGCTGCCGAGAGGGAGGTGGGAAGAGCCAAAGGCGGCGGTGCCCCCTTCCCGCCCCCCCTGCGCTGCAGCACATGGGAAGCAAAAGTTTTCCTCCTCCTTCTCCTCCTCCTCCTCTCTCCCCTCCGCCCAGGCGGCCCCGGGCCGGTTCCCCCGGAGCGGTTCGGAGATGAAGGATGCTCCCGCCGGCTCCTCGGCAGCTGCTGTCGGGTACCGGCGCTGTGCTGCGCTTCCCTCCGCTGGGCGATGAGGAATAAACCGCTGCTGGAGCGCCTGAGCCTCCCTGAGGGCTGGGAAGGAGCGAAGAGGAGACTTTGATCGCGCCTTGCCGAGGGATCTGCGGAGGAAAAGGGCTGTTGGGCAAACCCGAGCAGATGCTTTAGCAACGCCGGAGAGGCAGCGCTACAGCATCGCTGTGCCCGGGGCCCATCATGGGCACCGGCATGTGTTCGAGGAGGCAGAAGGGGCTCCTACAGACCGGGTTTTGCCTGGTGACCGTGGCGTGCCTGGGCTCGGGAGTTTTCATCTACAGCCACTTGCAGCAAAAGGTGCAGAACGCTGAAGCCCTGGCCCAGAAATACAAACAGCAGCAGGAAGCGCTGTCTGCCCAGCTCCAAGGTGAGTTCTGACCTGCTCTCTGTGTCCACACGCTGCCTGAACTTCCCTCCTTTTCCCTCTCTCCCAACACAGCCGCTGTCAGTTCTGCTGCACAGCCTGCTGATGAGCAGGGTGCCTTTGTGGTTCAGCTTTTGGCTTTAAAAAGCTCCAGAAAGATGCTGGCATGTATTTTCTTTCCCCCTTTGCTGTCTACAGTTGGAACAGCCTAGAATCCAACTTGCTGCTCACAGCAGTAAGGGGAACAGAGGGTGCTGGATTGGTGAGTTCAGCTGCGTCACATCTATTCTGTTTCTTGTCCCTGTACTTCTCTTTGGCTGTGAGGACTAGTCCTGTGACATTCTAGATGTGAAGCAGTATAGATGCCAGCAGGACTTGGAGAAGCTGCTTGGGCAGGCTCCGATATGTGGCTCTGCTCTCTGGCCTGCAGGAGTGTCAGGAAAGGGAAGAGACAGGCAAGGGATCCTTTCATAAAGTTTGTCATCATGCTGCCTATTGCGTTTGCAAGGAGACAACCCTCAACAGCCCACCTGCTTCTAGAGAGACTGATCTGTGACTAGAAAGGTCTTGCCTGCTTGTTTGGGGCTCACAGATGCTGGCACACAGCTCCCCAAAAAGAGGGGAGGAGGAAGAGGAACTGGCTTTTCTGAGCCTGTTGACCACCACTTGGTTCCTCTGGCAAGAGCTGCCAGAAGGGAAGCATAATGTGTATATTCCCCCTTCCTTTTCTCCCCTCATTTGTCCTCCTTACAGACGTGTTTAACTGTGGGAGAATGGCATTTAGCCCATGGAGAGATCCCAGCAGGGAAGGCTGAGGATGTTACTCCCTTGCTGAACTCTTCTTTGTCTTTGTCTATCACCCCAGCCTCACTGCATCTGCCAAAGTTTCCAGCATCTGTCACTAGATTTGGAGTCTCCAGAGGGGTTTGCTGAGGTCCTTGTAGAGAGGTTTGGTGGGAATCAGCTCTTTGGTAGCCAGTGGTTGGGTGTGGAATGCTGAAGGTTCCGGAGTGCCCACAGGATGGATTTTGTGTGGACAAAGTATGTTTGCCTGTGGGTCTAGTGAGTCAAGGTCAAGAGGTTCTTATAACAAGTGGGTTTAGACCACTGTGCTTAAATGCAGAGCTCTTCCTTGTGCTCAGGGCTGTGTATTTCTATCTGTAAACTGGGAAAGCAGAGTGTGGTGTATGTGTTTGGTTTGTCTCCCAAGGAAACACGCTTTAAAAGAGCCAATGAATCTTGTGGATCGATGCAGTGTGTGTATAGATTCACTGGTATGATCTTATGCCTTGTTTCTACTTCTTGTTGCTCTATCACACGGCAATCAAACAGCTACAGCTCCTAATGTGTTGCACAGTCCCAGCCACAGCAATTCCCACCTGCATCCTGTGTTTCTGAGATGCGAAGATCAGCAGGGCCGAAGTTAGCTCACATTCCTTTCTGGTGTGTCAGCATCTCTTGCTCCTCTTGGAAAGAGGGGCTGGTTCTTCAGAGGATAAGCTGACAGTGGTAGCCTTGGGGTACCCCAGTTTTGGGAACTGCAGGCCCAAGCAAACAACTGAGACAGGCTCCTGTGGTTTTGCACCCAAATACATTGGAGTGGCAGAGCTGTAGCCTGTTGCTGGGATTTCTAACCCTCTCTCAGTCCTCCCATTCCTAAATACAGTTGTTGCCATAGCTACCCTCTTTATTTTGAGAAGACACTTACTTGTCCAACAGTTTTAACAAAGGCAAGGCTTCCTGCTGGCTTTGGCTGGTGGGAGACGCCTGGCGACTGGCAGACAGGAGCCACACTCATGGAAGACTCACTGCACAGTGGCATCTTGCACACTTGGCCATGGCTCTTGTGCTGCTGGTGCTTTGGTGCGGGGAGTTGGGGCTCCGCGCTCTATCCCTGCCCCTGTGCTGACTCGTGGCCTGATTTATTGTTGTGTCTTCTGCATCCCATTTCTGTCTTTCCAGCTCTACAGAAGGAGGATGTGCTGTTCCAAAGTGGAATTCAGTGCTGTTTAACCAGTGCTTCAGGTGTCTCCTTTCACCTATCAACTATTTCCTACCTATCAAGTATTTCCTACCCTTCTTGTATCCGAGCACAATATTTGTGCAATTAGAGAGGTTTTAGTTTGGTCAGTTCACTAACCAACAGCACTGCTTGAACACATGGGAAGGAAGGTGCAGTTACAGTGCACTTCCATCTGACATTCCTGGTGGGGCTTGACAACATCAGGCTGCTGTCTGGATGGGGCTTGGAGCAGCCTGCTCTAGTGGAAGGTGTCCCTGCCCATGGCACGGGGTAGGAACTGGATGAGCTTTAAGGTCCTTTGCAACTAAAAGCAGTCTGGGATTGATTCCGTGATTCTTTCTCACAAGAGGTTATCATTGCATGCTGGCTGAGCCTGAGAATGCGGCACTCCTGTCCTCCCCAGCGGGTGTGTTTTATTCTGTCCCTTTCCTTTGCCATCTCTCTGGATCAGAGAGGGAGGTGTGATGAGTCAGGCTTTCATTCTGCTCCCCTTGTCCCTTGCTGTGGATGATTCTTGAGCCTGAGTGACTGATGCCATTGGTGGTAGTTGTGATGTGACTGGATGGAGACTGGCAGGAGTATCTGATGCTTCTAACAAGGAGAAGAAAGCCTTTTTCTGGGTGATGGGCTATGAGAGGGAAGGAGCACGGTGCAGTCTAGGAGTTGGTGTTGGTCTCTTTATGCTGAGAGCTGCTTGGAGCTGTAAGGCATGGGCAGTGTGGGGACTCTTCCCACAGCACGTATCGTTGGCATAGAAGTGGTCTAACGAACTATGTACATAGCTTTAGCAGAACCAGAGCAACACAACCGATGCCTCTGCTGCCCTGCTCCATGAAAGCAGGGAGCTAGCACGTGCTCATGGCTTACTCAGGCAGGGGTAAATTGAGGAGCAGGGGAGTAAAATCTGAGACTGGTGGCAAGACTGGAATTGCCCTCTCTTTATGGATCTCTCAAGCACCTGGCAGGGAGAGTTCATCTTAGCACTGTGGGGGTTATGAGGCAACCCCTTTACACAATCACTCTGTGCTTTGGGAGAGAGTGAGAACAAGTCAGTGCAAGACCTGACCTGTTCTTTCCCGAAGGCAAGGCCCTGCAGGGGATTTCATTGTCTTAGCAGCCCCAGTTCTGCATTTCAGCTCCTTTGGCAGCAGGTGACGGGGCGTTAGTGCTGAGCTCTGGCCGAATTCCAGCCTGGATTTAGACCCTGACCACCCTCCATTCTCTCCTGTAATTGAAAATTGTTAAAGACTTCCTGGCTTCCTGTCCTCTGAAGCCACACTGGGCCATGCTGGTCAGCTCAGCTGAGTTGTTGATGTATCCCACCACAGGCATGAGCAGGGAGAGCACTGACTGCTTTGTGTAAAGCTGAACCCACCTTTTCTGGGCCCTGTCAACCTGGAGGAATGGCAGGAGAGAGGACAACTGCATTTCTAGTTGCTGGAGGTAACTTCAGCTTGTCTTAGTAAAGAAAACAAATATCAGGGAGACAGATTTTTTCCTAAACTTTGCAAGCAACAGCTTATGGGATGGAACTGTTCTTGAAGACTCCTCTGTGTTGTGATGCTTGCATTAGGATTTGTGGTTATGGGTGTGTTAGCATCTACAGCAATAGGCTTGTGCTTTCCTATGCTTTAGTTTCCCATTTACTGTGTGAGACCTTGTGGCTTGGGGTCATCTCAGCAGATATTTCTGCACGAAACAGTTATTTCCTTGCCCGGTCCCTGCTGGGAGTGCTTGGCTCGTTTGAGTGAGGCTGTAGCTGTTGAACTTGGCCCACTGTGCACTTTGGTCTGGGTGACAGCACAACTGTGAGGCTGGTGCCTGCCCCGGCTGTTGTGGGACCTGGAGGGGTGGACAACCTGCTCCTGAGGGGGGAATCTCTAACCCTGCTCTTACACCAGAAGAAAACAGAGTCTACTCAGGCGACTGGGACACAACACGAACTGCTTGCAGGAGGAATTCCTCCAAGGCCAGGGCTGCTGGGGTAAATGCAGAGTTGAAGCTTGGAGTACATGGAAGGGCTTGGTAAAGCCTGGGAATTGCTGGGCATCCCCAACAATCCCAACAGCTGTGACTTTTCATTGCTGGTGTGAGGTCCCCATCACATCAAAGGCTTGTCCTTGGGTGCTCTGCTAGATCAGCCTGAAAGAAAGTGAGGCGCTTGGGGCAGAAACAAGTGCCCAGAGCCCACAGGTCTTTTGGGAAGTGGCTGATGTTCTGAAGATGACAATTTCATGCAATAAAGCTTTTTGTCATGTACTGAAGAAGGACCCACAGTCTCTTGGGTGCTTTTCTGGGCTGGGGAAGCCCTCAGGGTGACATCTGAGTAGTCCCATGGAAAGAGTGTTCCTAAACCTGAAGCTGTTATGAAGCAGACACTTGGGCAGCAGCAGTGATGGGTTTGCTGCTTCGCAGTGTGCTCAGCAGGGGAAAATGTCCTTCCTGATGGAAAACATGTATTTGTGCTGTAATGGATTGGAGAATGTGGTAGTTTCCTCACTATACATTGAGAGCAGCATCTACATTATCATTGGTGCTACTGATGGTCAACACTGTGAATATTAGGGACGCATAAGGATGTCTTATGTCTCTTATTTCTCCAGATTGGAGTATCTGCTCTCAGGCAGCAAACCACCTGATAGTGCAGGACCTGCACTGGCTTTGCTGCTCCCATACAACCTGAGTGGAGCTGGCTCTCTCTATAGATTCATTTGTGAGAACACAAGTCCTTGGGGCTCCTGGAATGGGTTAGCACTTGTTTTATGCATGCAGATACCATCCTGCTTTGTTCCTTTTCCTGGACACTGCATCATGGCATAGCCTGACCCCAAAGATCTTGGCTCTGGAGGCAAGTTTCTCCCATTGCTCCTCCCCTCTGAACTGCTGCCCGGTGCCATTCTGGCGTGGTGGCAGCCTGTGGAGGGGATGGAGGAGCCTGTTGCAGCTGAGTGCTGTGACTCTGGGAAAGCTCTTGGGTAGCATTCAGCCATCAGAGTGGATTAACATCACCATCCATCAGGAAGCTTCTCTGACACTTGCATTTGTCATGTGGCTGCTGTGTGGTGCAGCCTCATTGCTCTCCCTTCCCAGCTCCTGTGCGGAGTACAGATGCTCTTTTGTGTGTAATGGGAGAGGGAGCTGCTTGGCTCACTTTGCCTTAGTGGCCTCAGGGCCACTGAATGGCTGGGTTGTGGAAGGGGAGAAGATGTCTCTCCTGAATGCTGCATCCCTGGCAGTGTTCAAGGCCAGGTTGGATGGGGCTTGGAGCAAGCTGCTCTAGTGGAAGGTGTCCCTGACCATGCTATGGTTGTATGATTCCTCTGCAGAACAGATGACCTGAAAGGCTCTGACTGTCTCAAGCCTGGTAGTGGATTTGTTCCACAAATACAGAGTTTAGCCACTGGTCACTAAAGCCAGGTTTTGGGCTTTGCAGCTTAGGCTCCAAAGCAAAACCCAAGCGCAGATGCTCACAAGATGCACCTGACCCTTTCATTGTCTAGAACATCAGGTATCTGCGTGTATGCCAGGACTGTTGCTTTCTTGGTGTGGATTTTACATGAGCTACTGCATGCTCAAGCCTGGACATCCAGAGTGATGAAAACAGGAAAGGCCCCTTGGCAGTCCAAGGCAGGATTTGAGGTCCACTTATGCCCCTTTTGGGGAAGATGTGGGAAGAAATCTTAGGGTTTCTCTCATGCTCTGCCTCTTTCTGCTTCCCTAGTTGTGTATGAGCACAGATCCCGGCTGGAACGATCCTTGCAGAAGGAGCGAGGGGAACACAAGAAGACAAAGGAAGGTGAGCCTCTTGCATGGGTGCAGAGGGGTGGCCAGCCAAGCCCCAGCTTTTCTGTGGGGAGGTGTGTGTCGTACACAAAGCGTTTTCTGAGCTGCAGCTTTTTGCTCAGCAAGAGGCTGATTTCCTTATTCCCTGCCGTTAAATTCCAGCTCATTGAACTGTTTTCTCTTCTTCCCTCTCTAGATTTTTTAGTGTATAAGTTAGAGGCTCAGGAAGCTCTCAACAAGGAGAAGGTAGGTTCACTTTGTTCCTCAGAGCTGTGCGTGTGAGAATGGTAAAGATCCTTCTAGTACCACCACAATCATGAGGCCAGGGGTGTCTGGCATGTGTGAGACTGCGAGTGTGTATGGTACAGGGTGAACTTTGGCTGACTCCACTTTGCAAGGCTGTTGGTGTGTGAGGATTTACTTCATCTCGGGGCATGGCTGTGTTGTGCTAGAGCTGCTCTGCCTGTTCTCCCCTGCGTGACAGCAGAGTAGCTCGTGGGGTAGCAGGGAGTCCTGTGCTGCAGTCTGGAAAGAGAATTGCTGTTCCATGGTACAGAAGAGTCCTGGGGAACTTGAATGCAAGGCACACCACAGGGAGCATGGAGACAAAAGGCCATGGTGGTGTTGGGAAGCATATCCATTGTTTTCTGTCTCCAGGGATTGTCAAATTGCTTCCACTACCCTGTGGACTTCTCATTCTGCAGGAAGAGGAGGCCTTTCCAGTGAGGGTTAGGAAGAAACATCCCTGGGTGACAGCCTGTCCCCTTCACTTCAAGTTATAAGGCTGCTTATATTCCTTTCTCAGTGCATCTGTTGACGAGATGCTGGAGAAAAGTAGTTCTTTTAGCCTGCTCATCTGTGAGTGAATGTCATCCTGTTAACAGGAACTCATGGATGAATATCTGAATGCTCTCATGGCTGGGCAGCCCCCTTGCAGTTTGTGCTGGTAATATTTCATGCCATAGTGAGTATTTAACCTGTCAGTTACCTTGTGGGCTGTAGTGGAAATCTCTGCACGCTGGTTAGTTTGCACTGCCATGGTGCTGCTTAGTGTTTCAGCCCCGTTGCTTTAAGCTACTCAACCACAGATCCCAGCAGATGGTTGTGAAAGTGCCTGTAACAGGGAGAGCTGCAGCCTGTTCCCTCTGAGGTGGGTGCCACTGCTGCTGTGGGAACTTGCCCTGTGAGTGCTGGTGGCTTTCACACCTCCTGTGTTGAGATGCTACAGCGAAGAATGGTACCCTGGGCACAAAGGGGATGAACGTGACCGTTAGCAAGGCATAAGCACATCCATTAGATTGGTACAGACCCATCTGTGGACATGTGTAAATCCCTCCCGCTGCTGGTTTGTGTCACTTGAGCTCAGTTCAGCTGTACCTGGTTGCAGGAGCTTCCTTGAGGCTTAGCCAAGTGCTCAGTGATGGTTTTTGGTTGAGTGGTGCAGGTTGTGTGTGTGTGGGTGAAAGCCTCAGCTCTGGTGCTGGCTGCCTCCTCCTCCTCAGCTGCTGCAGGGATTGCTCAGCCTACTTTGGGGGGAGTTTACTGTGCAAAGCTCTTTCAGCACTGGGCCTGTCCTACATAAAGGACTGGGGAGAACTACTGGGAACGTGAATCAAGGGCATGCAGTTAATTAGCTCATTGTTAGTTAATTGGCTGGGTTGTTGTGCAAAGGTTCTCTTCCAGCTGTGCCCAGCTGCCTGTTCTGCTGGCCACCCTGCTCCCAGTCAGTGTGTGTGTGTGTGTGTGCGTGAAGGACCAGCAGGAAGCTGCTGGGGGTGCAGTGGCTGGGCAGGTGCTGGGCTGGGGTGTTTCCTGTCTTAGGTTTTCCTGGGGTTTAATGACACTGTTGGATCTTTTTCTTTCCAGCAAGACTCAATGAACAGATACGGGGCCCTCAGTTCCCAGCACAAGATACTTAAGGTAAGGGAGGAGTCTGGTGTGGCATCTGCTGGGCATTAAGGAATGCTCCCTAGAGGGAGAGTCGGTGCTTTTGCTGACCAGAGGTGCCTAGGAGGGACGCAGGGTTTCCTGCAGCTAGTGCCAGCACAGAGGGAGGAGACCACACCGTGGTGCTGATCCACATTCCTTCCTGGCTATTCAGGTTCATGGGAGTTTCCTATTTATCCTGTTGGGCTTTGTGTCGGATTACAACCTTCACCTATACCTCATTTCAATGGAAGTCTTTGTGCAGTTTATCTCACAGGAGTTCTGTTGTTCAGAATGTTCTTTTCTGGGTCTCTTTGTGTGAAAATAGGTCTATTCATTGTAACTTGCCCTTCTGGGCTAACACAGTGTATTCCAGGCCTTGCAAAAGGCTCAGAGGCAGGCATCTTATAGCATTTGATAGCTTATCACATGCTATATCTTGACGTTCTAAAGCATATCTGGATGTTAAAGTTTGCTTTTGTTAGAGCAGTGCAAGTGTGCCTGGTGCTGGTGGGGGTGAGATGGTTTCAGTTGGAGCATTGGCAGTGAAATGGTAATTTAATTCTGGGATGGAGAAAGAGGGCTATGTTCCAGCAGCCCTTAGCACCACTGGGTTGTATTTCCTGAGCAGAGCTGGACCTCCAGCTGCCTGGCTTTTGGATTCAAGCGTCGGGAAAAGGGAAGTACAGTTCTGTCTCTTGGGTATTATCCAGCACTGCGGATTCTGGGAACGCTTTGCAATAGCAATGTTCCTCTTCATAGCAACTGCAGTCTGAGCAGAATGCTCTGGCTTGCTTGTCTCAAGGGGACAGTGGGAGCCGTTTGTCCTGGCTCCCTTTCTCTTGCTTCCTCTTATTTTTTGGGGGGGAGAAATCTGTTTTTTTAGCTGTATTTACAGCTGCTGAAAGGCAGGCCAGCCCTTGGCACTGCAGTGAGGGAGATTTCAGCCTCCTCCCCAAGCCCCCCCCCCCCCCCCCCCCAAAAAAAGCAGTATTCAGCCCAACTTCCAGCTAGTTCTGAGCCTGAGTAACACTTTGGTACTGGAACACAGACGAAAACCACTTCCCACTGATGCTAGCTTCCTCAGGAGGAAGACTGCTGCCAGCAGTGTCATCACCTAGGAAGCAGACTTATGCTGAACAGAAGCATCCGATTCTATTACGCTGCAGGTCCCAAATATGACCAAAGACATCCATGAAGCCACATCAGCATAACTGGCTTTGGTATTTCTGGCCACTGCTCTCACTCTGGTCTGTTCTGAAGTCATCTATGTCTGATGAACATCTGTGCTATCTACAAAGCTGCTTCTAAATCGTGGCAGCAATACATGGTTTTGAGGTACTCTTAATATCTTTCTCTTTACCTGCCCATTGCCCCAGAGATAGAGCTGCATAGCTCATGCATCTTGGGCACTACATGTTGTCTGAACAGCAAAGGGGAGGTGGGATGAGAGGACAAGCTGGCCTGAATTCATACAGCTCAGCTGAAGGACTCCTGATATCTGGAAGATGAGGTGGCATCCTGAATGAGATGCTTCTCTGAAATAAACCCAACACAGCATGTTCCAGACAAAACCCAGCGCCTTTAGAGTCCTCCGAAATCTTGCATCCATTGGTCACATCCATCCTTAGAAACCAGCAGAGTGAGGATGTTCTGTGTGCTTAATGAGCTGCCTGGGCCTCCAGTGCTTTGTGTGACCTTGGTCAAGGCACTTCAGCTTCCTGCTGCTAGCAAAGGATGAGTATTCCCTCCCTTCTTCCCGGCTGTGAGCAGTCTGGGGACAGGCATTATGCGCATCCCCTGCCAGGCAGAATATGGGCTAGAAATTAATTGACCTGAGCTGATGAGGACTAAAAATGCCTTCGATTGCTTGGTTTCTTTTAAGAAATCAGTTCCCACTTGCTAACGCTGGTGGCTTCTGAGGTGTTTAGTATCAGAATGATTTGAGGGATGTGGTTCCTCTGCAGAGCTCTCTGCCAGAGGCTCTGATGAGAACAGCAAGTACCGAACGTCTCTGAAAGCCGAAGCAGGAATCTTTTATTCTCTCTTTTCCCTCCTGATCTGGTGATGTGATTAACCTGACATCCTCGTCTCACTCCTTTGTTCTGTCTCTGGGACCCTCCATACCAATAGCTTTTTCCTCTGCATTGCATGTATTTTTGGAGTACAGTTAGTTCTCTTCTTTTAGTGGAGGATAATTGCTTCAGGGGAGAATGCCTGGGCCACAGATGCTTTGTTTTACTGGGGATAAATGCAATCACTGATAGCACTTAGAGGTTTGGGGCTTCTAGAAAAGAAGAGGAGGTGGTTTTTACAGGAATGCTGCTGGAAATTGCAGCCTGAGTCCTGAGGAGCTGTTGTGTGGAAGGGCCAGGGTTCACCTGCAGCCTGTCCATCTGCATACATGATTGGTGTTGACAAACTGAATGTGGAAGGACTCTCAGGGTTACCATGGGAACAAAAAGGGAGGTGAATTCTGGTTCAGTGGGTCTGAGCAAAAGGATGTCTCAGCATGTTTTGTTCTAGGGCTCTGCAAGAGAGAAAGGGAGAAGAGAACAGCCCTTCAGCCCTGATGAATTCTTAGCCTGCTTGACATAGTCTGTGGTCTTGTGAGAGTCTTGTTATCCTGGCTTTTTATGCCTGTAAGCCCCACGTTACTGGGTGGGATGCGAGCTCTCTCTGGTCTCATTATGTGAGAGGATGTGATATCCTTGCAAAAGGTTCCTCCCTCCTGTTCTAGCAGCTTGGAGTGGTGGGTGGGAGAACAGCCAGGCGAGCAGGAAGCGAGCCAAACGGAGAACAACCAGAGGGGTTGGGTGTCCAAAGGCAATGGGAATTGGACCTTAGCCCTACTTAAAGGTGAACTACTCCTGTAAAGAGATGTGCAGACTGATGCTACGTGCACCAGGGAAACTCTCCTTGCAAGCAGTCTTGTCCTTCAGCATGGCTGGGAGTCTGGAAAGGACCTTGGCTTTGTGCTGGATCAGCTAACACAGCCTGTGTTGCTCTCACAGAGCAGGGTGTGCAGGGAAGCTGGGAAGGAGTAGGAGTAGTTCTTGGCTGTGCCCCAGAATCTCCATCTCTTTTTCAGGCAGGAGTGGACTTGCCACCACATTCTGCTTCCCGTTTAGTAGCTTTCAGGAACACCTCCCAAACTGCTTCATGCAGCAGAGTTTAACTGGCATTTCACATCCCTCCTGAACCACTGAGCACAAAGAATATCCCGCTGTATCGGGGGTTTCTGGCTACCTTATTGGAGGAGCAACCACCTCTTCTGCCTCCCCAAGCAACTTATTAAACAGGCACTCGAGTAGCACTTGGCAATAGCTAAATCACTCTTCTTCACCTTGTACTGACTTTGTCCCCTCTTCTCATATTCAGAACCAGCATGAAGATGTCAAGAAGCAGCTGCTTGACCTGCAGCTGCAGCACAACAGCTTGAAACTGGAACATCGCAAGACACTGGAGTCTCATAGCCAGAAATATGCCCAGCTGCAGCAGGAGAAGGACAGCGAAGTTGCGAACTTGCAGGGTGAGTGTGATGGAGAGCTGAGAAAACACCGACAAACCGGGTTCAGGAGAGGACAGTGTTTCCTCTACAGGCCCCCAGAAGAGTGCAGGAACACTGTAGGACCGTGAGTGTGCAGTGCCTTAGCCCTTCTGTACCCCATTTGGAGTTCTCTGGGGTTCAGAGCTGCCTGTGCTGTTACACTGCATGGGGCATCCCTGGCTTCTGTCAACACCAGCTTTCACAGTGTTCTTTTAAAAGCCTAATTGACCTTTGCTGTCTGCTTACTCATAGTACACATCCATGCTACTTATCTTGTGTGGAATTTGTGCAGGACCAGGTAAGAGAACAAATCATTGTGCCAGATGTTGATGGTATTCAGCCTGTGAAACAGTCCATGTCCCAAGGAGGTGACACTCAGGATAAGATAATCCCAAAGTAAAAGGCATGAGGCTAAGGTAGAGGTGCATGCCTGTGGTTCCACAGTAGGCTGGAGAAGAAGCAAAGGTTCATCCATCGGATAATGCTGCCTTACCCTATCCTTTCTCTGGTGGGTGAGTGTAACTAGGCAGACATGGGCACAGATGTGGCACAGATACAGCATTGTGACATTTAGGTATCCCATCTGGTTCAATATACATTTCCCACTTCTCTGTACATTTTTGACAATAAAAACCAATTTCTACACTACTAGAATTCTGTAAATGCTAACATTGAAGCAAATTAAACATACTTTTTGTAGTTAATGGTGTAGCTCTATAAAATGCATTTACTATTGCAAATATTGCAGAGAATGCTGATCCCTGTAATTCCCAAAGAGCAGTTTCTATTTAGTCTGCTCTTTAATTAGATTGGGGGGGGGGGTTTAAGGTTCACATCTGTTCTTACTTATATTAGGTCTGGGAGATGGAAATCTGCTCCTGTTTTGTTTGGGTGTTTTCTCTGAGCACTCCTGGGTTCGAAGGGAGAAGCTGAACACAAGCAAATGAAACCTAAATATTTGATTGTCTCTTTCTTGCAATACGCAACCCTCAGTGAAGAAGGAAAAGAAATTGTGCAGAGGAAGGAGAATAAGGATCAGAAAAGGGATTCCTAGAGGGAAGCTGGTCGGGAAGGTCGGCTTAAGGCTGGGATATTGACATTCGCTGTCCATCTTCCCAGGCACCCAGCCTCAACGGCAGAATGTCCTGTCTCAGGGATGAATAGTATATAAAAATATGTACCACTGTAATCAGAAATATCTATAATCTAGAGCTGGAATCTTGCATGGAATTCAGCCTATGGCAAAGTCACCATCCTTTTTACAGGGAAACATTCCCATCCCTGTCCGTAGTGGCAGATGCAGCTATGTTTGCACAGAAATCCCAGTGCATGCAGCAATGCTGATATTGTGAGAGAGCTTCAGCATCCCAAATAAGGCTGATATTCTTTGACAGTCTTTATTGGAGGATACACAATTATGTTCCAGGCAGTGAAATGTAAGTGCATTGTGTGTCTTGTCACTGGAGTACTTAGTGTGCAAAGAGCTTGAAAGGAGCCCAGCCTGGGAGCTGCAAGGCACAGGCTTGTTACTTAACAGCATAGGGAATACATGTGCCTGAGGACCAAGCTGTCCTGCGATTGCTTTGTGTGTTGGGGGTCTTTGTGCCATCCTTTCAAGAGGCAGCTTCTCTGTGCAGTAGGGGGGAACCTCCTTGGATCTGCTGTGGGTTCAGGAGACAGGACAGACCTCTCCTCTAGTTGCTTCTCAGCCTTCCCTTACAACAGGTAGGGGCAGTGACTGTTGCTCTCCTGGTATTCAGCTGCAATGGGTAAGGGAAATGAAGAAACAAACTTGACAGCAAGCACAGCCAGAGCCTGACCTGATGGTGATAGCAGAGACACTCTGGAGAGAAGGAAGTTCCTTGGATGGGCAGGACTCCTGAGTGCTGACAGGAAGGAGGATTCAGGTTTGTCAGTGTGTTTGCCTAATCCCTAGTTAGTGCTTCACTGTAATCCCTGGGCTTGGAGAGATCTGTCAGGATCAAGAGGAATTAATTATGAGGGACACTTGAAAAAATAGCTTTCTTAAGCAAATATCTTCTTCTCTTGCAGATACAGTGTTTAAACTCAGAGAAGAGAGCAAGCTGCTTCGGAAGGCCCACCAGGAAGTTCACTCGCAGCTCCTTAATGCCCAGGTAACCAGCAAGGGGCTGTTTGTGGCCACACGGGACAATCTTTCACTGGGGTCTGGATGCACCATCAAGTATTCTCTAAGTAATAAATCTAGTTATCAACTGTATCCCAGTGTGGTCCGTTGCCTAAAATGGTGCTGGTTGTAAGATGCATTCTGTACAAGCTCTCCAGCCTGGAATCTATCCCAGTAGCTGAAAATATGGATATGCTACACAAGCCACTGGTTCAAGTGAGTGTGAACCAGCACATTCCCAACCCTTGAATGCCTCCTCCACTCACACACATCTCAAATACCCTGAATGATGACGAACTGCCCCTGGTTTTGCCCATAACTAATTGCAGAGAGGATTAGCAATGCAGAGGTGCTTGCTGAGACTACAGACACTCAACAACCCTGGCAACAAGGTTCCTTTCTACAACTCCATGTGAAGCCTTAGTAGAGAGGGAGATCTATAAGGAATCTGGAAATGGGAAGGAGCTAAGTAAAGAAGCAGGTGTTCAGTTAGTAAGTGTTGGAGCAATACAAGTGGTGGTGGCTTAAAGCTAGAGAGGCAGAAAAGCACTTTCCTGCAAGGGGGAAAGACAAATCTTTTGTTCATACGGTGCTGTGCTCGTGATTTGAGCCTCTTCAGCACACTGCACGTCCCAACCTCAATGAATTCTGCTCATCCACCTGAAGCTGGGAGACTTGGGAAAGGGAGAAAGGGGGTTATGCTGGCAGAGGTAGGAGGATTTAATGTCTTTACAGTGCCTGAGGCTCTTGAGCTGAGCCAAGACACAAGCAGCTTTGTAAATACACTTTACAAGTCACTTCGCAGTCTGAATTAGCCTTTTCTGTTGTTAATTAACAGCCTTCTGTCAAGCACTCCCTGGGATTATAGGATAAGCCCAGAAGCAAGGAGCTGGTTTTGGTTAGATGCTGTCGACAGCCGATTCTTCCCCTGAACTGGATGCTGAACTTGAACTAGAGGTGGAGGGCGCAGTGGGCTTTGACTCCAAGATTGTTCTTGAGTTCTGACTGGATCTGCCCTGCAAAATAGGAGGGATTTAAGTGGCTCTGACAGCTCTCTGGCTCATGTCAGATGTGGTTTGAGGGGTCTCGGGTGCACCATCAGTGTATGTGACTTGCCTGCCTTAATGCCTTAGCACTGAACTGCTCTTTTACCCTGCTCCTCCACACGGCTGCTCGGATCCTCTGCAGTGATGCTGCCTGCAGTGTACTTGTTGGAAGCTAAACAAAGACTTCTAGTCTCTGTAGGGGTCAGTCCAGCGAGCCCAAGCCGGGAATTGAAGCAGCATGAGATGACAAGCTTCCCCGGTGCCCCTGGCAAGCCTACATTCATTCACACCTCCTGAATTCCACTTCAGCAGAGTACCCTTAAAATGCTGTTTGCCTGTGCCGTGTTAGAGAAAGCAATCAGCAGTTCAGCTGGGCAGACTAGTGCACACTCGGAACAGCATCACAACCCCTTGGGCAGAGGTGGTTGAGGCTAAAAAGTCAAGCACTTGAGGCTGGAAAATGTGGTGGCAGCGTTTGTGCTGCCAGTCTTAACTTTCAGGCCCTTCAGTGTTGAGTCCAATGGGAAAAGTGGTTTGTAAGAAGCAGCTCCCTGTCATTGCTTGCCAAAGAATGAGCAGAAGGATTTGCCCTGGGTGAGGGAGAGGGCTCAGTTGCCTGCTCTGGGTGTACCAGACAGTCGTGTAATGAAGTTGTGCTCCAGCCATCTGTCTGCCTGCTATTTCTGGCTCCTACAGAAGAGGCAGTGGTTGATCCCAATGATTTCAGAAAATTCCTTGGATCTTTGGACAAAGAGCCTAGTGTTAAAGGGTTCTGTTTGCGTTTCTGATCAGCCCTTTGTAGCGTGTAATCAGTGATTCCCATCACAAAGATGAACGCAGCCGTGGTTGCCATCAGCGGGGTGAGGTGCCATGTGGAGGAGCAGACACCTACAAAGGCTCAGGCTTCTCTTTGCCGTGGCAATTTGCACTGTATCCTGTCTTGCTTCCTGCTGGCAGGTGGAAGTTTAGAGGAGTAATTTGCATTCTAGACAACACGTTCCCATTCCAAGGGTTCTAACACGTTCCCCAAGCCCAGCCTGCAGTAGCTGTCACATCAGTTGCTCTGCCAGGTAAAATGAGGCACGGAGGCATCAAGTGAGACACGCACAGCTTGCTGTGACGGGGTGCAAACGGCGTGTGGGAGTCTGTGCACTAAGGCTGGTTTATAGCCGCTTTCCCTCTGGGCTGACCACCTTAACAGGCTTTTGATGGGTACAAGCTCTGCTTCCATCTGGCTTGTTCTGACTGGAAGCAGTCTCCCACTAGCTAGGGCTATATGCCATGAACTTGGCTTCCTTTTCCTTTCCTCATTCCTTTTATGTTAGCTTTGCTGAGCGGTTTTGTTGGGGTTTGGTTTGTTTTCTTCACGTTAAGGTCAAATTTCAGGGGGAAGATCACAAATCACCAGAGCCTGCTCAGGAATTCATTTCCTGCTGCACTTTCCTTGCTGCTTGGAAGCTTTCCTACTCTGCCCAGACCCTAGTTTGGTCCCTTTCCAGGTACCTTTGGCAAGCATATGAAAAGCTTTCCCCGGCACTTCCCTATAAATAGCTGGGGTGGGAGTGAGGAGCTCTTCCTGAGTAGCTTTCTCAAGCCCTACTTTTGGAGATGGAAGAAATAAGCTGCAGCAGAGAGAGAAGTGTTGCATTTGCTGAAGAGTCCCAGAGAATCAGTTCTCATTTGTCTTGCAAAGTGAATTGAATTGTCAAGGAGGATTGTGCCAATTGTTGTCAGCCCTGCTGAGCTGAGCACATCCATGGGGAAATGCCTCCGCAGGAAGGGAAAGAGAAAAGCTGACCTGGAGGTACACGTGTGTGAGCACAGGAGGAGAGGGAGCCAAACCTAACAGGACCTAGGATACAGCTCTTGTGCAGAGGCTGGAGTTGTGTCCATGGCTTAAGCACTAAATGCATTGGGCAAAGAATGGATGTCGTGGGCCAGCACTTCCAGGGTATGCAATAAGATGCAAGACTGGAATCTGGAGGGAAAGCTAAAGACTAAACATTAATGGTGTTATCTCCAGCCTTTCATATACATGAAATTCTATCTTCTTTAGCAGTGTATCCATGCTGAACAACTGGCTATAAAAAAGTGGCTCTTCTCAGCAAGGAGTGGTTTAACCCTGTTATTGTGTGAGGTTTCTCTGTACACTTCTCATCCCCTCAGGCCCAGATGGAAGAGTTCAGGCAGCTCAAGGAAGCTCTACAGAAGATGCCAAGTTTCAAAGGAGGAGGTGCTGGGAAGGGGCAGCAGCAGTTTCAGGCGCTGAAGGAGCAGCCCATGGTGCCAGCCAACAGCCAGTTGCAGCTTGTGAGGCAGAAGGTGTGGTATTCCCAGGAAACCCCAGGGACAAGAGTTCTGCAGGGGGCTGAACAGGAGGGAACCGAGCTTGTTCCTTCAGAGCTTGTTCTCATCCATTCTTCCTTGCAGGCTTTTCCAGTCAACCAGGAGAGCCGCCCCTTTGGGAACCCGCTGGCCTCACAAGTCTCCGGGGTTCAGAAGCAGGCAGGTGGCCCTTTGCTGCAGGGCCAGAACTCGTACAGTAACGATGGCCCAAGGCCACAAGCCAACGTGCTCTTTACCCATCCACATCCAGCCCCAAGGCAAGATGCCAACTCGCTGCCAGATGCTCTGCCAGCCTGGCCGGTGAGACGCGGGGACGGGCACGTGGTCCGCTTCACCCGCACCATGAACAGTCTGCCAAATGGGAACCCTGTAAGTCCTGCGCCCTTGTTTTGTAGCACTTGCTTCTGAGGCTCGAAGCTCTGGTATTTGTAATGACCTGCATGTGTGCATTCCACTTCCCTGATGTGGAAACTGTCCTGGCCTCAGGCCTCGGACTCCTGTGCACTCTTAAGGGTTTGTGGTTTAGTGGCTGGGCTCAGATGAACGGGTTCTTGTTCTGGATCCTGCTGGACCTGCAAAGAGTGAATCATAAAAGCAGCTCCCCTGACTCCTGGGGTGATAGAGAGGGAGTTTATGGAAAGCAGGTATCTAAAAACCAGACAATTGCAGTGTGGTTCCACTGGAATTACAGTAACTTTCCAACGGGAACCTGCAGGATGTTTTTTAGAGGCGGTTTTGTTGTTCCTCCTCTTGGAGATTCGCCTACCCAAGAAAAGCTTGGGTCAGATAAATTCCAAGTTTTCCTCTTGGCTGTGTGGAAGGAGAAAGACTTCTCTTACTGCAGGCCAGCTGGGTAGCACTGTAGATTTGTTTTGGAGCACTTCTGAATCTGTTGTTCTCTGATAAAGGCTTGCCCTGGTCCATAAACCTGCCTGAATGCAAGGGAGATGCTGAGGTATCACACTAGGAGCTTGTGTGTATCCCAAGCATGTGTCTTCTCTGCAGGATCTAAAGATGGTGATGCGCATTCATGTTCAAAGCAATGAGGAAAGCCAGGCTCCTGGATTGGCACCCTCTGACCTGAAACAGCCCTCTGCAGCAGAAAAACCTCAGGCACCAGACAACCACCACTCTCCAGGGAGCAAACAGGTCCAGATGCAAAGGTTGGTGAAGTAAAACTCCCTTCTGCTTGCAGTATTGAGGCTGAGAGGTACCATACAGGCTCATCCCCGACTTCTTGTGCTTATTGTGGTTTCTACTTGAAAGGTGGTTGAAGAACGTGTTTGTTACTGGTTCCACTGCCATCTAATGCTTGTAACCGACTGTCGCTGCCAGGTCTTGATCTCAGCTGAAGCAGAGCACTAGTCATGTTGCAGGCAATGTTGTGTGATGGAGTGCACAGTCTGCTGTGGGTGCTGTGCTGGAAAATAAAAGGCTCTTATGTTGATGGTGCATGCTCTATTGGCTGCCTTTGTATTTGAACTGTTCAGTGAAGTGTTTGTGTGGGGAGGAGAGAGAAAGAGGAGTTCCTGCCGAGTGAGATCAGGTCACCGTGCATTTCCTGCTAGCTAGAGGAGAGAGTGGGATGGGAGGCTGAACTCACTGGAAGAAATTTCCTCCCTTTCATAGATGGTGACTGAAATACCCTGTTTTGTTTAGCAAGCTGGAGATACTCTGCACCATATGCAGCAGCAAGGGTGGCTAAAAATTCCCTCCGTTTCTATGAATGAGAGGCATAAGTTGTACATTAGAGCTGTGATCCAGTTTTGCCACTAATTAATCTGTAATGTGCCAAGCTCTGCAGGAACAACCAGACCTTGAAGATCTGAGAGCCTCTCATCTCCAAGGTTACTTGGTAGTCTACAGGCAGCTGGCAGCCAGCCCCAATTCAGGTACTAGGATGTTTTCTTTGCTTCTAGGGCAAAGACATCCCAAACTCTGTATTCTCTCTCCTTTGTTTCCTTTCCTCCCAGGGAATGGAGCTTGGCTTCCTGTTGCCAGTGCACTCCTGAGGGATGCTAGGGATTCTCCTTCACAGGGCACATGAAAAGTCACACAGGTCTGAGACCTCTTGTCCTGAAACTATTGGGTTTTATCCAGAATGGGGTAGAAGAGGTTACAGTAATAGAGGACACAGCAAAATCCATCAGACAGCCCAGGCTTTCATCCTGTCTGTGTTCCTGCATACCTGCATTTGAGGTGATGTAGTTAATATAAACTTCAGCTTCACCTAGACAGGTCAAACAAACCAGTTCAATCATATCAATACAAGGATCAGGGTTTACAATAAGAAAAGACTTGGAACTGGTACAATCTTCTGAGCTTAGCTGAAGCCTTGGCATTAAAATTCTCTGGGATTGTTGCTCCTATCTGGCATCCTCAGCACAGTGTGTTCTCCAGACCTGTTCTTGGTGCAAGAACAGAGGGAGCTCTGTGGAGGTGAGTCCCTTACAAAGGGCAGAGGTTCAGAGAACAGCATGAGCCATTCCACGCAGGTAACAGAGTGGATCATTCCTACAGTACGATACTTGTATTACCGTAGTACTTGGGAGTCTAGTCAGGGACCAGGATCCTGCTGCTGGGGATGCTGTACAGGCGCAGCAGAAGCTGTTTTGCAAAAGGAAGAACATGTCTTTCTCAGGCTGCAATTCATCAAAGCCTGGCCGTGCTCCAAAACCTGGCTCTGAAAATAGTGCTTCCTTATTTAACTTGCTTATTCTCTGTGTGTGTCCAGGTCATATCTGTCCAGTTCACCGGAGCAAATCAGATTTCATTTCTGTTTTATCAATAGAGGAGGCTTCTGGATTTACTTCTAAATTCAGCCTGATCCTTCCCATTCTTCTCTGTCACTTTTGTTTGTTCACTTAACCTGAAATGTTCCCAGGTCAGAGATTGTGCTTTGCATATTCCTTCAAAGGAATTTGCATGGACACAAGGAGTAACAGCACAGAGAATACTCTGCCTTTTTATAGGGAGAGACTTGTGTGGGTGTAGCTGAAGGTGAGGGTTGAAACTGTGATGGCAGAATGGCCTCTCCTCAGCCGTGTAGAGCCTAGAGACGATGCTGTGTCTCCTCTGTGAAACAGAAAATGCAAGTATTGGATTTGTTTGGCAAGGACAGAGATCATGGTATGTTTGATGTGCTTTTCTGTGCCTGGATCTATCACACTGAGCAGCTGGAGGCTGTTACTTAACACTGCATGAGCTTGGTGATAAGGAGTGCATAAACCAACCTTCTCCAGAAGGTGTCAGTGCCAAGAACAACAGCAAACCGCAGCAGAGTACAAAAGAGGCCATGCATCCGATGCCAAGAACTGCTGCATTGGGTGGCTGAGACCAGCAGATTCCAGACGAGCTCTTGATGGCCGGTTTGCATTTTGATGGGTTTGTAATGGGGAAAACTGGACTGAAGGTTATGCTTTTTCTCACTGAAGGTTTGGTGTGGTGGTGGTAGTATGCTGGCTTTGAAAAGCTGCTAAAGCAAAGGCCACTTGTTCTTTTTCAGCACTTAAAAACTCAGGTGTCTTAAGTAGACTTCTAAATGCCATCTGGCTCAGGCTAAGCCAAGCAGTAATCCTGCTTGGAACTGGTGGTAACTTACTCAGGTTAGAAGTTGTTTCAGTCACTTTTAAGAGTCCCCATTACCGTGATTTCATCCCTTCCTTGATCCTTTGTTTCTAAAGGTGTCCTTGAGTAAGGATATTTGGGAGGAAAACATTCCTTGTGAGACAGCGTTCGGGGCTTTTCAGGGCTTCATTCAATAGTATTTGTTCTCTGACCTCCAATCCATTTCCATGCAGTGGAATGGTGCTAAGCTGCAGAGTCCTCTGCTGCTGAGCCTCTGGCTATCTGTGTGAGCTGTGCCATTGCTGCAGGCAGAGAGGCATTAATGAAAGATGTGCTGCATTTGGCAAGTATCTTGGTATCAAGTACTTGTCCCTCTGAGGCACTCCTGCTACGAAGGAAGCAGGCATAGATATTGATGTGGACAGCAGGAGAATGGGAGGTGGAAGCATTACAGAGGAAGCAGTTCCTGACTGTGGCTGCCTGAAAGGGGTTGCCTGAACTCTCTCAGATAGAGCTGTGTGTGAATAATTGATTTTTCAGGTCAGTAGATGGATCAAAGCAGTTGAGCAGTGGTGGTAGGAGAAGCAGGAAATCACACTGGAACGTGGCTTCCCTCTGAGTGAAGCAGTGAAGCATTTTTCCCATGTAAACCAAAGCAATATGCAGATGTTTTCAGCTGGTTCTGTTGTCATAGTTTGGGTTTGTACAGGGCACAGATGCTGTGGAAGACTTTTATAAACATCTGCTGCTTTAAGTATACACATCCCAGTCGTGAAGCTTTGTGAGGACATTGTAGCTCTGAAACAAACATCAGCAGACAACGGAAACTGTCAGCTCTGTACTGCAGCTTTCCTGGTTATGTGGAAAGGGTTTTCCTCCTTGCAGGCCTCACTTCTACAGTTTTCCTTTAGCACCTTCATTTTAAATGAAGTTGGAACAATAAAGAGGACTTTTAGGTTTGGTATGTTTTCAAAGACATCATTTCTGTATTGGGGTATGTGTGAGGCATGAGTAAGTATCTATTTGGAACTGGAGCTTATTGCTATGGGGATGTGTTATTGTATCATATGAGTAATATTAAAGCAGTTCTACAATAAATCGTGTTTATAAAGCGTAACTTTGTACTTCTGGCATGTTAAATACCCAGTTTCAGGCAGTTATCACAGTAACTAATGCAATCTGCTAGTTCTGCCAGAAAGTTAAATTAAGACAAACTTCTGCTGATGATGGAGTTGTTTTTTTCCTCTGCCATAGTGAAATAGCAGCATTATGAAATAGCTCTTGATATACTGAAGCAGAAGGATTGTTTTGTTTCCTGCCCTTGTTGCAGCTGGAAAGACATTGTTAACAAAGTGAATGCCCAGATGGATGAACAACAAGCTCACAGTTACCCCAAGAGCCTTCATTTTGAGCCCAGGCCTAGGCAAGAGATGCAGAAAGGCAGCTCACAGGCACCCGAGCAGAAGAGAGGGGAAGAGCATCAGATAGCTGATGAGGAAGGCCAGAAGGAAAGGACAGATGATGAGGAGCTCGAAATGGGTATGGTTTCCCTAACCCTGTGCTGTCCAGTACTAACTTACTGCTAACCAAGGTGGGTTATGTATGTCTATGAGTGGAAGAGGGAAGCTGCAAATTTCCTTGGGAGCAAATAAAGACATCAAAAATGAATTACAGTAAGCCAGGCAGGCAGGGCAGAGCTAAAATGGGCTTTCAGCAGAGGCATCCAGTCTGAGACTCTGCACAGAGATGCTCTGCTGTGCTCAAGGGGCTGGGATACAGTGTGAATGCTTTGTAAACAGATTTCTTTGCTGCAAACAGACTCTGCCATCAATTTCTCTTGCACATGTGGAAATAACCTGGAAGATCTGGAAGTCAGCTAGTTACCTTTGTCAAAAAGCCACTGAAATGTAGATGTGACTAATGCTACTTCTGCGTGTTGCTAGGCTGAGGGGGAATGACTAAGTGCATGGCTTTTCATGTAGCTAACATTTTGCTGCAGTCCTGAAGGCAGTGAGACAGGGAAGCTGGGAGCGGAGGCTCCTGTGAGGATCTCATTTGAAATGCTGACTTGCATCCTATTAAACATTATAAAGATGATCTCAGCCTGCTTTCTTGACAGTAGATTTTTAGCTCTGGATTTGGAACCATTGGCTAGGTTCACTCTGGGCAGTGAAGTCCTCCCCTCCAGAGCAGTGACACTTAGGTGACAGCTATGGTGTGTACAGATGCCTGTTTGGAGAGGACATTCTGTATCCCCATGCTTTCCCACAGCTGTGTTTAGTTGCTATTTAATGTTTTCCTGACCTGATTTTCAACAGGCCCCTTTAGAGGAACAGAGCTAATTGGTTCACATCAAAGTGAATTCTACCCTGAAAAGAAAAGGCCTCATGGCAGGTATAAGTGAGGACCCACAGCCCTTGAACTCTGGATCCTAACTGGAATGAAGAACTACAGTAATGGCTTAAATGCCTTGACTGTGCTGCTGTCCCATTGGAACACTGCTGTCACACAGGCTTCTTTGATGCTGCAGGGAGAAGCACACAGTCTGTGGTGGCAGGCATATGAGTACCAGGGCTGGACATGTATCAAGAAGTTATGGGCAGGCTTCAACGTGTGCTTATGCCCCAGCCTCAGGGACAAGGAAGCAGCTTTGGCAGCTGTAGCAAGCAAATCCCTACTTGACATAGAGTTATACAGCTGTTCCCAACAGTGGGAATCCTGACTGGTGACACTGGGTTTTGAGAGAGTACACTGGTAACTGTCCCTTTTCCTTGCAGATGCAGGAGTGATTGAGAGGGAGGAGAATTTGCATTCTCAGAAAGAGACTGTTGTCCAGGAACCAATGGTGAGTAACGCTGTCAGCTGGATGCAGCCCTAGCTTGGAATAAGAATCCAGCTATCCCATTTAAGTTGATGCTTTCTATAACAAACCAAACTCCTTGGCTCTGGAGTGATTCAGAGGGATAACAAAGATGGGGGGGGGGGGGGGGGGAAGCCTTCAAGCACTAACATGCTTGAAGAGAGGTGTGACTGAAATGTTACCAGCCAGCACTTCCTGCTTGCTGGGGAAGGCAGCAAACCTTCTGTCTCTCGAGGGAATATGCTGCCGGTTATTTACAAGAGGCTTTTCTTGTGCAGATGCCAGATGATGCTGCAGATCCTGCCCAGGATCCCAATAACCAAGGTGAGGATGAGTTTGAGGAAGCTGAGCTGGAGAGACCTGACTTTGAAGAGAAGGTGGGAGGTTTGGAGAAGTTCAAGGAGCCCAGCGTGAAAGAAGAGTCTAAGGAGAAGCCACCGAAGGTGACTGACATGAGGGCAACCAGCAGGGGCCAGGGAGAGATCCCAGCTATGAATGGGGGGAGGCAGGGAGCTTAAGGACCCAAAGGAAAATATCATGTTCCTGAACGGATCCACAATCCAACTGCAAGGATATGGCAGGCAAGAGAAACCTTTCTGAGTGAGAATCAGTGGGTTCCTCAGTACCAGAACTTGTCCTGGCCCTGCCCTCTCTGCTTCTTGAAGTCAACCCTTGCATTTGCAGCATGGCTGGAGAGATACTTGAACAGGAGATGGCTCACTCCACAGCTATTACCTCAGAGGTGCTGGGTCCCTTCAAGCACTTGAGAGACCAAAACCGGAGACAATACCACAGCCCTAAGCTCAGGGTCTGGTCAATGCAGCCACTGCTGTTCCTGGGGTGGGTGTGCAGCAGTCATAACATGAGAGCTCTGGCTCTTTGCTTGCCTGCTTGCAGAGGGAATCCATTTATCCTGCTAAGTGCTCCTTGCTGTCTGAACCCAGCCTCTGCATCAGGGAGATGTTAGCTTGTTTTGACAAGCAGCTGAGCGTTGCTTGTTTTTAAAAGGAGTGTTTTATCTGTTAGGCTCTAAAATCATGATTAGTAGTGAGGTTTAAAAAGAACAAAAAGACATGCAGGCCAATGAAATCAAACAAGAGCGAGATGCTGGCACCAGCTGAGCAGCACTGCTTGAAGATTAGTGAAAATGGGGAAAGAATTAGTGACATAAATACCTGACTTTCAAATAGGGCTGTGCTGTGATCCCTAAAGCTCTGCCCTAAATGACTTGTATATTGCCTGCAGTCCTGAGGCTTGTTGCAACAGCAGCATGTGCAGGGGCCCTGGGGCCCTCTCTCCACAAAGGAAGGAGCTGGGCAGTTGCTGCTGGCATATGCGTAGAGAGACTGGGTGGAGAAAGTACAGATGGAGTTTGGCTGCCTCATTGTCTCTGCTGTCCCCTGATTCCTGATCTGTTTCCCAGTGTTCCAGACCTGGGGCTCTAATGCAAGACAGCTGTATCCCTGGCAGGGGGTGGGAGTGGGCTGGAGCACTGTTAGCAGCATCTGATTTCCTGTATTTTCCAGGATGCTGGCAGACCTGCCAAGCCCAGGGAAGACCCAATGGATGACTATCAAGAAGATCAGGAGCAAGAAATTGTACGACACCAAGGTTCTTCCTCTTTCCCTCTCTGGTGTGATTGTTACCTGCGTATGTTGGTAGCCAGGAGCTGAGCAGGACTCAGCTTTTAGGAAACCAGATGTGAGCACCGACTTCAGGTTTGTCTCTGCTCAGTGAAGGGGGTCTCCAGAACAAACCTGGACCCATTTACCTCTGCTCCCTTTATTGAACAAAGGTATTTGTGGCAGAAGAAAGTGATGTCCCACTCCTGAGTCAAACAAGCATGGGAGGTGGTGTGCAGGTTAGGCCACAGTTGTCAGATAGCAACTGCTCCTCTGTTTGACTGAAAACCAGGTATTGTTGCTGTGTGTCAGAGCTCCAGGACTACTGTAGCCAGTGTCAAGTTGACAGTCCCTCTAGGAGAAGGACTGGAGGCCACCCAGGCTTGAGAGCAGAAGTACTAGAGAAGATCACCCTGGTGCCTTCTGGGCAACAAGGGATGGAGCTCTGCCTGTGCCCCCTCTGTGTCTTGGCTAAGTGGCTTGCTGATGACACCTAAAGGTCCCTGGCAGAGATGGACCTGTTTTACTTCCTGATTCTTCCTTCTTTTCCTTCATTTCCCAACCTGAGCTGTGTAGTAGAACAGCTATACTCAGAAGCAGCATAGTGTGCTGCTTAGGGTCTCCTTTCCCAGCCCTTGCTGATTTTTCCTTCCTGGCTGTTTGTCTGCATGCAGGAGGATCATGGAGGTGAGGTGGATGACAATGATGACCTGGAACTTGTCCAAGACCAGAAAGACCGGGCAAACATACAGGGAGCTGATGGCAAAAAGGATGACTACTACTGAGAGATGCTAAAGGAAAGTGGAATAAGCTGGGAGTGAGGGGTCAGGAACCCCTCCTGGGAACTGGCTCCTGTACTGAACACTGCCCAGACCAGAGGCAGGAGGAGGTAACGGTCTTCACAGGCACTGAGCAGTGTGCTTGCAGATGTGCATCACAGCTGCATGTGGGGGGCCATTGCTGCCTCTCCAATCAATAGCATGGAAGTGCTCTCAGACTGTAGGGATGGGTTTTATCCTGCTGCTTTTCTTAGAAGCACTTTTTGATTTGTTGTGTTCTTCACCCTCTCGTTTTCCCTCTCCCCTCCCAAGCTGGAGAGTTTTTCTTATGTTTTTTAACCCCCTGGGCAGCAGAGGGGAGCCTGAACTGGTCCCTGGACTGACTCGACTGATTGCTAATACAAAGGAATCTGTCTTCATAACATACTTTGCTCAGTAGTGTTTCTTTAAAACATCCTTTGCTCCCCTCAGAATAAGGTGGAGAGGAATTTAGCTTGCTTTTTGTCTGGAGTAATGCAAGGGTGATAACTAACCATGAGCACCAACAGAAATGACCACGTACCAGCCTGGGTGTGTCTGTGTGTGTGCATGTGTGTATATGAATGACTGGATCCCCTTCCTGGTGCAGAGATGCTTCCCAGTGATTTGCAGTAGAACCCCATAGAGGTCTTTCTTTGGCTTTGAGATGTCACTGTCCTGCTGGGCTGCTTCAAGTCTTCAAATGCAAGCAGCAGGATGGGAGCAGACATCCACTTCTGTGATGGGTATGCTCCAACCTTACTCCTATTTATGGTGCAGCTGCAGCATCCCAGCAGAGCTGTCCCTCCTCAGGCTATTAGCAGAGTGCGTCGGAACATATCCAGCCCGCCTCTGCCTCTCAGACCCATAACCTCCTCCTTCCTTATCCTACTGATGTACACTCAGCTTTTGGTACCTCCCTAAGCTGTTAGCACCAAGCAAGCATGAGAGGCTTGCTAAGGATGGAATTTGGTGCACAGGAGGGGGAAAAAAATAAGGAAGAGTACTCATGATAGTATAGAGGAGTATTTCGAGCCCAGCTAATACAATTCCATCCCGTTCAGCTTCTTTCCAGTCTCCCAGCGTTTGTCAGGGAGCTAAGATAAATCTTGTTCCTTCTGGACAGGTCTGGTTTTTAATCAGGGTATTTCTGGTGTTCTGTTGATTCAGTAGATTGAAATCTGCAGTACTTAGACTCCAAGGCAAATCTTGCCTGACCTCAGATAGAAAGAAGGAAAGGAGGAATGAGTCAGCTGGAGTCCCTGGCCCCCAGCATAAAGTGGAGGCAGCTAAACAGAGAATGATATCTCAAAGCCTGGACTGGCTTAGTCATATGAACAGGGCAGAGCTGTCACATCTCCCACCTTGTGCAAGACCCATGCATCTGAGCTGCCTCCTCCTTACTCATCACCATGAGCTCGCTCATCAAACAGCTTGTGGTTGAAATGTTGTGACCGGATAAAGGACCAGGGGAGAGCTCTTTGTTCTCTATCTGAATTAGTTATGCTTTTTTGAATCCCTTCCTTTGAGCATATTTTGTAAGCGCTTTTAGACACTTGGGAGAACAGGATCTCCCAATAAGCTGGTGTTTATTCACTCAGATAGTATTAATTCTCTTTCTTCCACTAGTTCTAATGGAGCTTGAAGTTAACATGTCATTAGGGTGGTTTGGTTCTCTGTTTTTACTCTGCTTGTGTTTCCTACCAACACAATGAGCTCTGGGCTGAATAAGCAAAGGTGCCAGAGGCAAAGCAGCAGCCAGAGGCTGTTCCAGTGAGTCTAGGAAAAGGTCAAGTGCCATAGCTGCTCACATAGCCCACTAAGGAGCTTACTGCAAAACTGTAATGGGTTTAAGATACCCAGAGTGACTTGAAATGGTTAATGCTGTGTTAGTGCTTTCTATTGCCAACCTTGCTGTATGATGCAATCAATCTCGGCCGCCACTGTCTGCTATAAATAGCACACTCAGGATGGATCAGCTGGAGTTGCAGTTATCATTTTGGATGCATCCTGATCAAAAATGTCTCCAGTCCTCAGCTGGGCTGGCAAGATGCTGTTGTTTCACAGCTCAGTGCAGAATCAATGACCAACAGTCTGTGGCATGAGCCTCAAACCTGCCTGCCCAAGCTGCCCCAGTGGGATATGTGGTACAGCTCTTGGTCTGATGAACTTCATTCACTCCTCTTTCGTGCTTATCTTAGCCTTTGAGTGTCAGAGTACATAAGTTCGGACCTCACTGGAAGTGAATCAAGGGCTGGAAATAGACCTCCAGTGGGGGTGAGACTGCGTGCTGACTCAGAGAGGCTGCAGCAGCTAGCTAAATTAGGAGGCAAATGCTCTGCTTTTGCATGTCTAGGATGAGTAATCCTCAAAGTTATGACTTGGAGGGAACTGTAGCAACTCGGCCCTGAATGTAAAGCTGCCTGTTAGGAGAATGCTTTAGCAACCATATGTCATGTGCTGCCCTTAGCTGAGAGCTGAGCATCTCTCCTCCAGGGATTCTTTGCCCTGGATGTATCCAAGACTAAACTTAGCATGGTGTTGCATAAATGGTAAGCTGTGGGTGGTCAGTGCTTCCTTATCTAGCCTATAGCAAGTTGCCCCCATTTTAATACTCGGTCATGGTTTCCTCTAACAGGAGATGAAACAAGAGACAATAAACCCAGTGGAGGAGAACCAGAAAAAGCAGGAAACCCATGGTGTTGGCTCTGCAGTATGGGCTGTTACAGAGTTTGATATGCTGCCTGGGAGTTCACTGCTTAAAGCAAATAATAGTGGTTTTCCTGAGCAGTGAACTGTTGAAGCAATATATCTGAGAAGTCCAGGCTGAGTTTTATTGCAGGCTGGGGCACTGGAGAAGGTTTTAGAAAGCAGCTGGATTACAAAGAGAGCAAACAGTGAGACTAAGTACTCTCTGAAGCCAGTGCTGGCAGACTGACCCAGCCAAAGCATGTGTTTCTGCTTGTCTCTTGCATAAATAATGGTCTTTTGCTTAGCAACAAGTCCAGAGGACACAGGGTAAGTTAACCTGTAGTGGTGTTACAAAGGTTGTGATGGGTTGCTCTTTATTTTCCTTTGGGTTCCAGCAAGATGCTGTAGCTGAGAGTTCTGCACACAGGGTTCACATGATGTCAAAGTATGAAGTGACTTGGCCACAGCTTCAGCTGGATAATTAGAATTAATAAATAGTACATACTGTGCCCTCACAAATAAAGGCACAGATGAGGAAAACATATGCCTGTTGATTAGTTAAATGAAAGCTCTGTCTAATGAAGCCTACTTCTCTGTAATCCACTTCTTGGAAGCCTGTTTAGGATTATTAAGCCTTACATGGCATTTTTTAGGGGTTAAAGTGTGACAATCTAATAGGAGTTTAAAGAGATGTTTTTCTCTAAGACATCTGAAAATAGATGGAGGACAGAATGCCCTGAACCTGTGTGAACTCTCTGCATATCCCCTGGAGTGAGCTGTTCTTCTGAGCTCTGTGCTACTTTAGTGTTAGAGAATATCAATATCCATGGAAAAGATGAGTTAGGTGTAAGTATCCCTGACAGAGGTTGGGGTGTTCACTGTCCTGCCCAACAACAAACCTGCTCCAGGCTGTAACCAGAGAACCAGATATTCCGACCATATGTGAATGGCTAAATGGAAGTGAGTGCACAGGTGTCCTACTGTCCTGGAGTCAGAGGTTCAGGATGTGAACCCAAAGGGAACAATGTGATTATTCCAATTCCTGGTAATGTTGGCAGTCATTCTGGGAAAGAGGAGGCTCTCACAGCTTCTGGCTAACTTGGTTTTGCCTCTTCTGCAACTTCAAATGCAAGTTTGGAATGAAGTCCAGAGCCAAGTGATGTGGCACGTGCCATCGGGTGCCTTCCTTCACTGCTGTGCCAACCATTTTCGTTTCCTGTACTAAACACTAGACCCTGCTGATGGATCTCTCAAGAGAACTCAAAGCAAATCCTAAGCAGCATCAGAGGCTGGTGTCAGATCTTGACCCTGATCACTGAAACAATGACAGCTCTGGAGTGCAACTTGCTCTTGGTAGAACTGCACAAAGTTCAAGGATGGAAACTTGCTTGGTTTGGCTCTATCCATCTCCTCAACACCCACAAGTTTCTTGGGAAGGGCTGTCACATCTTCAGTTTTGCATCCTGGCTGGAACTTCCACAGGTAAGTTTGCCTCAGTCACCAAGAAGTGCCTTCAGCAGCACAGCACCTCCTGTTGTTGTGTGATAACCCAGCGTTTTCCGAGGAGAGCACCCATTACTACAGCCTCAGCATCCTTTTCTATGCTGATCCTGCTTTTTCTTTAATTCCTATTGATGCCTCCTGGTATCAAAAGAGATTTCTAGCAACTTTATATAGGCAAATAGACAACCTCCTCCCCAACACTATATCTGGTTTAAAAACTACTTGGTATTGTTAAATTATGCTTAAAGATTTCCTTCAGGAAACCATACACTTTTAAAAGGCAACTCTTTCAGACAGGAAAAGGTGTCCTGACACGAGACTATCGAGTCATGTTCATGTTCAATGCATCAGAAAACAAAACTTAAGTAAATTCCTTATTGCTGCAAATTACCCTTTGAAGGTGTTATTTTCATATATATAATGAAGTGCAAGGTGTATGATTTGGGTTTGGGTTTTATTATTTAGGCTATGAAATAAAAACCAGGCTTCAGAATCTTATTTTTGTTATCTCAAGGTTACAATGTAAGCCAATAAACAGTTTTGAAGAAACTTACCCAGTCATCTGCAGATCTTGTATCTCCAAACAGGTAACAGTGAAGAAACAGGACACCAATGTGTTTAGGCATGTTTCTGGGAGTGGTAAACATGTAATGTGATAATTGTTCTGCTTTACAAGTTAAATATAGATAAATGCTTCTGTTCTGCTATAAAACCTACAACAGGACACTATGTAAAACCTGATCAAAAGATAAACCAGAAAGAAACAACCAGAAAAGGTAGGACTTAAGGCAGCTTTTGCCCATTTAACTGCTCAGAGACTCTTCAAACATTGCTTAAGTATGTATTTTTACTATTATTTCATTAGAGATCTCTTGTTGCCACATTTAGACAAGTCTAGTGGAAATCTTGCAAGGGCTGGGAAAGTGTTACGGTGTAATGCTGGGATGGAGCACTGCTCTATCTCCTCCAGCCTTCTTCTGTGCTGCAACATGAGCGGCTCTAGAGCAGATGGATGGATTGTGGGTTGGTCCTGCTGCAGGGAGGGGAAGATGGCATTTATTGGAAGAAGGGGAGTATCTTTTTCCTTTGGTCTCACAGACTAGTGCAGCTTCCTCGCTGCTAGCAGCAGTCCTCATGAGGGACTCAAGCCTTTTTCCTTGTATTACATCCTTGCAGAGTTTCTGTGAATTCCTGGTCCTAAGGGGTTAACGC